CTAAAACCTAATCCTCTGTTAGTTATTACTTTATCTGCCCCATAGCTGCCTAGAAACTGTATCGTAATGTAGCTTTCAGCCAAGTCTATAAATGTATTTCAATAACATTAATTTTTTCACGAGGCTTATACTTCTCCCTCTTTACTTGCAATGACGCAAATAGTGTTTTGTAAACATCTTGAGGCCTTTTAAGCTCGGCTACGTAAGATGTACGTCTTCTAGGCTTACTCATATACAGTGACTGTAGAATTTAGTATTTTACACTTTACAGTATCCTATTAGATACATTATAGATCTAATTACTTGTAACTATGTAACTAGTCCGACTTTCCACCAGACAAAACAAAAACGGCAGCAGACCACTAACAGATAGCGTTTCTAGTATTAGTCTAATATTACTAGAGCCTAATCATCTAATTTCATATTGATTACTGATACAACAGTATAGGAAATTACGCGTAGTGGTTGTTGAAAAAAAGATAAAAGAAGTATGTTAAGGTCAAATCACTAAGGAGTTAATATATATACTTTAATATATATAATTATGAATACAACGTTTCGGGCAATGCCCTTCTTCAAGAAATAGTAACTAGTACAGTGTAGTCTAGTAGCTTAGGGCCTCATTATTCGATCTAGTACATCTAGGCCAACTTGGATCTTTTTTTTTTTATTGATAAGCACTGAAAATGTAGTCGTCATACGGTTTTACGTTTAAAAAGCAATAAATATTATTGTAGAAATTATTTAGAATTTTTTAATGCCAATATGAACTGATGACACCACATATTTCATTACTTTTACGAAGACTGACTTATACATGCTATAGAGCTATACAAATGTCAGATATGACGTTCGAGGACACAAAATATGACATCATGCGCACTCTGTGGTTAATTGCCCTATTTGGACACGCGTTCGTCCCGCTAGGTGACATTTATTTCTTTTAATTTTCATAGTTATAAGATCACCTGAAAACTACGATAGTAAGCAATGTTTTGTGAACTGTAAGATAATAGCAAAATAGTGACAAGGTGTTGTTGTATTTTTTATTTGGAGTAAAGCATTTCTAAAACTATAATTATTTGAAGAAATCATTTCTAATATTTCTACGAAAGAAACAGAAATAAATATTCCGCTTTAATCACCGATTCAGATGACGTCACATCTAATATCAAAGAGTTTATCACCATGAAACTATACATAAATGAAAGGTTTTGTATAAAAAGTCAATAAAATTTAACGCGGGGTATCACTATTTAAAGAGGATTTGTTGATTTTATATACCCTACCCACAACTCTAACCCTGAATTTTAGCGTTACAAGCCATCAAGTTTACAGCTGTGCCAGTGGGTGGGGATCTGAGGTGATGCGAAACGAACATCAATTGCTCTCGTCATTTTCTTTTTTTACATATTCTTTACATCCTCTCAAGCTTTATCTCAAATAAGTAAAAATACAAGTGAAAAGAAACACAAACAATAGAAACCAAATCTCTACTGAAACAGTTTCCTGGTCTTGCAAAAAACGTGCTTGTCAGTTTAAAATATTAAAAACGTGACCTTGAATATTCACCTTCGCCACTGAAGTTATGCTTTCACCCCTGTGTGTATGTGTGTGTTTGTCAGCAAGATATCTCGAAAACGGCTGAACGGATTGGATGAAAGTTGGAATACATTTGGACAATGACCCAACTTAGAAGTTGGAGACTGATTTTTCACACTATTTTTGCTCTGTAACTGAGTAAAATATGATCGGATTTTGATGAAACTTGGTGGACTTATGTAGAATATTATTTCCCCATTGTCCTGCCAAAAACTGTTCGTGTTCGTTGTTAATGACATACGAACATTTTGAGAGCCGAATATGATCAACGCTGAGTGGCGGAGGTATGCACTCCACTGAATGCCCATCTGGTTGTTTCTTGCAAAAAGAAATAGAATACCTTACTACAGTTTTATGTTCTTCTCTTACAAAGTAAACACAACTAAAAAGATAAATTTTAAGCGATTAGTTTAAAAAGGCAACTCACTGATGTTTTTACAGCTTGTTGACGATTTCAAAACTTAAGATTGAGACACCGTTGTTGTTGTTTTATATTTTTACTGCAGGAATCAATAAATTCGACCACTATTACTTGTGTTTCTATCATATATTCAAAGTTGCATTCATATCATCTCTAATGTACGTATACTCTCCGATGATGGTAAGTTATTTCTTAAGGGAGTATGTAACCTATATATACTGTGACACTACTTTAAGAGGCCAAGAACGTAAAACAAATGCCACCCTTAAACACTTTAACACGGCTCAGAGACGCTTAGCATTTAAAACATGCAAACTAGAAACTAGCTGTAACACGGCCCTGGAATACCTTGAACTTAAAACTTATTATTTCTAGATACTACAATACGATCCTGGGACGAATAACACTTATATCTATAAGGCAGCCAAAGGACATCCTAACTTAAAACATGTTACCCATAGACACTGTAACATGATTTGGAGACATTCGGCACTTAAAGCATGCAATCTATAGACACTATTAAGCAGCCAAGGGACACTCTGAACTTGAAACATGTTCTCCATAGACAGTGTAATATGATTTGTAGACACTCAGCACTTAAAGGAGACAATCTGCGGACACTATAAAGCAGCCAAGGGATACTCTGAACTTGAAACATATTAACACTGTAACATGATTTGGAAATATACTGTATTTGAAATATACTATCCCTGAAGTCTATTTTTTTTTTATTCCTGTAAACTCCCAGTGCAGCATAGGGCCGCAACAACACCTCGCCAACGGAAGGTGTTGTTGCAGTTACTTGTAGCAGGTTGGTTTTTACGGGGTGGAGTTGCTAGCTCCGCGCCCAACTCTCCTCCTTTCTCATCCTGGACTTGGGACCAGGCAAAGGCGGAGGTTGACATGTTTGTTGTGACGGGGATTCGAACCCGTGACCCTCAGATTACGAGTCGAGCGCCCTAACCACCTGACCATGCCGGGCCTCCTGAAGTCTATAACACATTTCAAATACCGTTTTATAAAGTATAAATTTTGTTCACACCCTGATTCTGTTAGAAATATCTATTTATTTATAAGAAACATTTTCGTCGTCGTCTATGTATTATTGTCACTAGTGCATAAAACCGCACAGACTGACTTGTTTTATTTTGTTCATGTTTCTATAATTTGTTGTTTATTGTTCGCCAGGTTTCATTTACGTTGATTGTTTTCACATCTGTTTCACACGTCTTCAGCACAGATATATTTAGTTTCCTTTATTTTCTGTATCTCTTATATCTAGCACTGAATTGGTAACTTCCAACCTACGAAATAATCTGCTTTAAATAACACACGTGCGTTCAGTAACTCCACGAAGAAATTTCAAGTAACTTATGTTACACAGTGGGATAGCTGTATGACTTATGTGCACCGTGAGGAATCGCAAATTTATCACTGACTCACCGAAGGACTCCATATGATTGCTGTAATCTGAGTTTGCCTAACAAGTTTAATCAAATCTGATAACAGAACGAAAAACAATGCTTGTAAGTAAATATTTGGGCTGCGAGTAGCCAAGTGGTTAGCATGCCCGAACTATGAAACCGCAAATTTATGGTTTACGTCTCGTGGCCTAAAAAAACGCGCTCCACACTTTGGGACCGATGATGCGCTATAAGATTGACTGTCAATTCCTACTATTCTGTTACATAAGAGTAGCTATAGAATTGGCGATGGGTGATGTTGACCAGCTATCCTTTATCTTATGAACATAGTCTATTAGTTCAAAATTGGGGACAGATCTGCGCACATAGCTCATTGTGTAGTTTTGCGTGAAGATTGGGAAAAAATAAACAAACAGACTAGTAACTCCTGATTGCGAATTCCAGAAGTTAAATCTATTATATGATTTTAGACACAGCTGCCTGTATAGAATAATACTTTTATAATATAAGGTGTGAAATAATTCTATCAGCTTTCTAATTAAACTGAACGAACTTGATTTTCAGGGCTTAAACTGTTATGAAATTATTTGCTATAGAACGTGATATAATTTATTGCCATTGCCGTAAACACGATGAACTTACCTCCATACACGAATTTAACACCGATGTAATTCTAAAGAAACCATAAATGGAAATTCACCCGGATTTTAATAAGAGAAAGTTAAAGAAACATTCCGCATGAGAGAAGCAATCTTTTCCAGTGTTTCATTAGCGTATCAGGCTTTTCGTTTATATTTCCGTACATTAGAAACCAACATTTATCCGTTTATATAGATAGAATGGTTTATACATATTCATTAAACGATCTGAACTATAATGATTTGCATTAATAATAATAAAAAAAAAAAACTTTTTCTTCTCACCAGGCCTCCCTTGGGTAAACAATCCACGAGAGACTAGCCATTAAAACCACCTAGAACCAGCTAAATACAAGATGCCTAATTCAGACTTAGTTTAAACTGGAACTAATGTAACTCTCTCTCCTGTATTGGCGGATTCTGTATTGCGGAGAAAAATGTTTTGACATGTAGCAAATGAAATCCACTGAGGAGTCAGCCATTTGTGAGGAATAGAAACTACCTACTCACTTCCGGTATTTATGCCGCTATTACATGCCAGGAGAAGTATATTATTAAAAAAAGGGTTTACTGAGATTATAATTATAATTCACCAATATGTGTAGTAGTAAGATATATTACAGAATTCCTATTAATAGCAGAATTCCGCGTGTCACACCGAGTTTAAGAATAAAACGCTTGCTTTGTCTAAATGGTATTGTTGACCTAAGACAATTAAGGGAGAGTTATACGTAGGCAGAAACGATATAACAAAAACTGTTGGTCTAATAGTTAAAATACTCGAAATATTCTTTTCATATTGTATGATGATTGTCTAGAAAATGTCGAAGTTGTAGCTGCGTTCTCTTAAAAAATTCCGAATTGTCAATCAGAACTATAGTTCCTACTTATTTTGGGTTATGTCCTTTTCCATACTTCGCTTTTAAAGGTTGGTGGAATAGTTAATTCGTGGCAGTTGGTTTGATACGTTTTTAACAAAAATAAAGCTTATATCATAATTGCGCATTCGTTAGGTTTTTGAAATGCGTGATCGAATGACGAGAATGATATCTACATTACCGTTGTGTCTGGTGAATTGTTTGGTTGCAAAGTATTGATAGTTTTAATTAACCAATGTATCTGGTGGTCAGTTCAGTTCTGAAAGTCTAGAATATCTATTTGAAGAAGTGGCATGTTTGGTTATAAAGTATTGGTATTTCTAATTCACTATTGTATCTGGTGAGCTGTTTGATTCTGAGATTCTGGAATACGAATACCTACATAAAGAAGTGAATTATTTGACTAGCAGAAGTTTATGTTATGTCTTGTTAATCATTAATTCTGGTGAATTGTATAATAAAATACAGTGATATTTCTATTACATTATTCGAGTAAAAGGAGGTGGTATATTATATTTTTATGGTTAAATCTTTAATTCAAAGTCGGTCTAATTGTATTTGTATAGTAATTTCAACTAATGTTTATTTATAAAAGATAGTTTTAATATTTTTAAGGCATCATAATGTCTACTGAAATATATGATTTGAAGTTGATGGTAGTATATTTGCGTACATCGTTGGGACAGCGGTAAATCTTCGATTCCCCACGGTGGACACAGCAGATAGCCCGATGGGGATTTGTCATAACAAACACACATAGTTTCATAAGGAACAGTTCATACATGACTGTATTTTGGTGATTTTTTTCGGATTATATTAAGCTGGTAATAAATATGTGTTTCATCATGTTATGGAATGAAATTATTAGTTAAAAACAGATGTGTTATGCACACACACACACATGCAATAAATGTTTACTCCTGAATTGGTTGACTAAGCACATAGTTTGAATAGAATACAAACATTTTCGGGCAGTAGCTTGATGTGACAAGTACTGAAATTAATCTTAACAAATAATATAATTTACCATTTGCAGAAGAAGAATTGTTGAGGACTTTTTCTTCACATAGTATTCTCTTCTTCTCGAGTACTGCTCTTTGATCCATGTAGTTTTGATAGAAGTTATCATTTAGCACATCCATCTTTAAGAAAACAAAATTCCTAAATAATTCAATATAAAACATTAAACTAATACCAAACTAATCTAACTGATCAAGTTATTTTAAAACTTGGTACCTTTTTTCAAATTTTCTACCATTTATGGAGTTTTTGTATGAATTAAATGTAAGGTTGTTACTTAATAACTGCTTTGCTATCGTAGGTCATAGTGTCATGACAACACATACGTTTTAAAGCATCAACATACCAAGAGAAAGAAATGCTTGAATAATTATAGAGAAAAATGTGTTTAAAAAGTAAATAAAATAAGGAGGAAAATATGATGTATATTTACTCCTCTAATTCCAAATGGAAGCTAAGTAAGTTAGAAAGTAATATGGAAAGAAACACAGGTGGTCTACGTCTTTACACCTGATTTGACTTTTACGACTGATTCGTAGCTATTTGTGTATATAAAATTAAAATGGAAAAAAAAGAGATTTTATTTTTTTAGAAACTCGGTTAACTCTGAATCAGCGATATCCAAACAGAGTGGCTGCTCGTTTATAAGTTCTTTGAGTAGTCAACATAGTAAACACTTGTGATTGAAGTTTACAATATTGTTTAAATTAAATAAAACAAAGGGTTATAAGGACAATTATTTGTTACCGCCAGTTTTCGGTTCCGTTATTAGAATGTTCCATGGACGTAATATCAGTTACTGTTTTCTCTAATAGTATGCTGTAAAACGTTTACAAAAGTAGCAACAATACTACAGTAATTGAAGCGAGTTAAAGAAATGTGAAATAAATATGCATGATAGCAGCCTTTATATTTTTAAATTATTTTATATACACAATACACTGTATTAACAAAATAACATCTATTCTTCTTGCAAAGCACTTTCTTTGCAAAAATATTTCTATTCCTAAGTCAGCGTTTCTAAACGTCTGGCGGGCTGACATAGCCTGATGGTTAGAGAGATCGACTCAAAATCTGTGGTCGCAGGTTCGAACCCTAGCACCGAGCGTTATAATATAATGGTCAATCTCACTATTTGGTTAGAGTAGCCCATGAGTTGGCGGTGGGTGATGTTCAATAGCTGCCTTCCCTCTGGTCTATAACCTCTTAATTAGGAACGGCCAGCGAAGACAGCATTCGAGTAAATCTGCGTGAAATTAAACAAACAAACAAAATGTTCCAGGGCAGTTCAAATGGATTTAGGTCATATCATTGGTGTAAAAAACAGATTATGGACTTTATTTGTCTCAGACTACTTCTGGACATGCCAAATGGTATGGCATGGGACATTATCATGTTAAAAGAGGTAAGGTTCTTCTCAATAACACGTTATCACTGCAGTTGCCATAGCATTGTTCTGAAAGTTACAGTGGCTCCCTTAACATTATCTATAGGTGAAATACAAACCGATTTAAAAATGTTCATTCAATAAAAGTTGTTCAACATTACAAGATTTTGTGGCCAGAGCTCATAAACATGCTCTCATTTTTTTAAAAAACGAGGTTTCTTCTACCTCATTTTCAATACCATACTTATTCGAATTTTTTTGTAAATTTAACAATATTATTTGTACACAATAACTCACCGTGTAAAAAACACATTAATTAGATTTAAAAATTATGTGCAGTATTTACTGCTCACTACCGATTAAGTACAATAAAATTTGTTCAACGTTATAATATTTCGTGGAAGGGCTCATAAATTCACTCTCAATTTTCAAAAACGAGATTTCTCCTACCGCATTTTAAACATCAGTTTTATTAAAATTTGCTTATGATGTTGATAATTTTATAGAATATTACCAACTTTTCAAAGCTCTACATCTTAATATCTTAACTAAGTTTTAAATGTAATAATGAATAACTTAATAATGGCTCCGACTTTTAGTTTTACTTCTCGTTAATTTAATGTTGATTAGCAGTTTCTCGTATACTGTAAATAAATATTAAGCCTAATCTATTCATTTGATTCACCACCTGTCACTGAATTATACCAATTTCAGGGAATTAAGTTTCTCATCATTAACTTTAGACAGTATCTAATTTTTTTTACCATTTTAAACACCTTGTCTGCTGAATAATTCAGAAGAATAAATTAGTAGCATCAGCGTTATATATTTTTCAAGTCTTATGCAAATATAGGCTCACTGTGGTGAGTAAACGAGAACTCAAAATACTATACCTATAGATGTCAAAAAAGGAGGAAGTTTTATATCTTTTAATCGTGGACAAAACTTTATACATTTAAATGTCAGCATTTTTAATACTCTTTGGAATTGTCTAGAGCTACTGATGAGTGGAGGAATTCCTCGAAGCCAGTATAACAAGATTGGGTTTTATTTTTATTTTTAAAATTTGAATCAACTTGTCTGCTGAATAATTCAGAAGACTAAATTAGTAGGATCTGTTATATATATTCTTAAAATCCTATATAAATGTTAGTTTACTGTGGTAAGTAAGAAACAACTCCAAACGCCAGATATATGTTTATTATATAGTATAGCATAATTTCATTAGTTTAGCTACAATACTTTCTGTTAATTAACCGTAATTGTTACATTTATCATTGTTTTTATTTTTTCATTTAAGTCTGATTATTAGCGAGATCTTTTTGGTACCTTATTATCGCTTACACATTTCGGCGAGTCAAGGTTTTAGCTTCATTTATTACTTCCGGCTGCCCGCTAAGTAAATTGCTCATGTATTACAAGGATAGTTAAGTTGGATTAGTTGTGTAGACACACGTGCCTTCTTAATTTATCTTGATGTTAATCTACTATAAAGTGACTCTGTTGGAACTGTTTAATGGGTTTTCTCTTGTCGCTAGACGTTGTTAGGGAGAATTATAAAAGTTTTGCATATACTGGTTTGTACACTTTTCAGGGAAAGCGAATCAGTGATGGTGCATTAGGCAAACAACAACTTTTTAGTAAGTTCTTTCTTTAACGTTATTTTCATTAACTGTATTGATTTAAATATTTACCACTAAACAACATATTAATTTGTATTTATTTATTTTATGTTTTTATTAGTACATTATTTATTATTATGACTATTTTGTATTGTTGGGCTTAGTATTTAGATATAGGACTAAACTAAATCTTCTAACTGGTTGAACCTCATGAGATATTATTGGGGTTACGGCTTTACATACTCCAAGTAAGAACGGTATTTTAAGCTAGTCAAATTTATTACTGGGTTAGTGTTTAGTTCAGACCTATGTAGGTGTTTGTTTTGATCATAAGTTATCGATAATGAACTTACCCCAAACACTCCTATACGGATGAAATAACACAGTCCAATGCATTTTCAGATCACCTCAAACCCAGACTCATTTGCGCAGTTATAACAAATACGGAACAGCGGAATTCATCACACCACATCTCAGTTTTGACCTTAAAAGCATTTTGTAAGCCGACAACCATATTTCACATTTACAATAGTAGTTTGTTCACTGCAGTTCCACATTCTCACTTAGTCCTGGATGGTGAATTTAGTGACACATGTGTAGTTTTTTTCCGCAACATATTTCAAATTTTTACATTAATTAAGGAGCGATCCACATTGGGCAACCAGGCTGATATTTGATAACAGCACATCCAGTGGTCCTCCAGTTCTTCAGCACATTACCAATAACACTTACATATGAGTAATGGAGCTAAAATGTCTCGGACATTCATTACCAATGTTGCTGCATCCAATAAGAATTCTTTTAGGTTTTCGTGAATTCTGTCCTCGTGACATCTTGATTCCAATTAAGTGTTTGACCTACATAAATCCTAAGCAGCACTGCGCTATAAGGCTTATGCAAAAATCGCTCTATATATATATTGTAAAGTTACATACATTGATTTAGTTAATTTTAGAAATTAACACATCAGCAATCTCAAAAAGTGTTTAAAATGCTGACATTTAAACGTATAAAGTTTTGTAAACGATTAAAAATATCAAACTCCTTCTTTCTTTCACACTTAATGTGTTCGTAGATTTTAAAGTGGCATATCATGTAAAAAGTATCCAAGAGTTTTGACAAAAATAGCTGAGAAACACGTTTTTGTGATATGTCTCTCAAGTACTGACGTAAGGAAATGCGCAGGATGAGGCTTCTAGCGGTATGAAATGTCAGCGATGCAAAACATTTGGAGCTTTGTTTGTTTGTTTTTAATTATGCACAAAGCTACACACGGGCTATCTGTGCTCTGCCCACCACGGGTATCGAAACCCGGTTTCTAGCGTTGTAAGTCCGCAGACATACCGCTGTGTCACTGGGGGGGGGGGCAACATTTGGAGCAATTATAAAGCTGGAAATTTGATATTTTCATCACCTTTAATAAAAACTACTAAGGAAATTATTTTTGTGAAATTATTATATAAATTCATAAAACGATATCTACAATTTTTGTGCGTCAACTTCGAATACCCATAGGTCACAATTGTCTCTCAGTGTGCAGTAGAGAAAAAAAAATGAGAATTACACTTAAAGTTTACTATTGTTAATCTAAACTAAGTATTGGCTGACCTTTGAAATTATACAGTTTGCGCATTCTCTCATAAATTAAAATACATGTTGTAAAACTTTTAGCATTAATGAACTGTACATACAGTACATATAACAGAAGAAAACTTCAGTTGCTCTTTCTAAGTCTCTTGATATTGTCTTTTTTACCAAAAATGTTATATGAATGTCACATATGGTTTCTACATGATCTTTTAAACATAGAAGATAGACAAATATATAGGTTCATTTATTTTTATCAAACAATCGGGACAAACATTCAGCCTAACGAAACAATAAATTAAGTTGTTGAGCCACTATTTACAGCTTCAAAAACATAACAACACAATAACAATGATAACACACACTATACTTATCTTCAGTACAATATTTTGCTGTCATGAAACCATGTCAACTACTTTGTAAAAATACTCTTCAGGACTGTCACGATTTACTGCTAAATAATATTAAATATATATATATTTGTTTATTTAATATTATATTTAAAATATAATTTTGTTCATTTTTA